CCACTCTGTTGACAGCTCCACTTTCCTTAACTGGCCCCCATTGGGAGCAATTGGGTGGTTTGTCATCCCCTCTAAACTAGGGGGAGGCACCGGGGATGCCGAGTGCTCCGTGTCCTGCAGGAGTCACCTGGACAGGCCACATGGGTGCCACCACAGAGACAGGCTGGCACGGGAGGGCCTTGGGGACAGGCCCAGCTCCCTGGGGCCGAGCAGCTGCAATCTGGGCCTGGCACCCTCGAGTCCTCTCTCCCGTCCCTGTCCTCCTTGGCTGACTCCTTTGGAAGGACCATCCCAGCCCCATGAAGGTGGGGCCAGGCACCTGGATCCAGCTTGGCCCCACTGCCCCGGGCTCCTGTGCCACATCTGCCCCACCTCGGAAGCTCTACCTCTTCCCCTTTTGTCCCTCTGGGCTCCCAGCCTGGCATCTCTGGCCCTGAGGCTGCCTTGGCATTCGTTTCTTCTCCCATCAGGCCCCAAACTGGAGCAGCCATTAGTGATGAATTAGCCGTGTGGATCCCAGCAGCTGCCTTCTCCTGGTGCCTGTGAGCTCTTGGAAGGGACCTTGCGAATCTGATCCGAGTACCTCGGCCCCCTCTCCTGCAGCAATTACTTCTCTGATTCTTTGTCTGGGAGGCTGTGGCTGCCTCCCCATGCCCCCACCCCCGGCTGAGGACAGCAGGTTCATCTTTGTCAATTAATCACTGAACGGTTTATTTCGGTTTATTTCGCACTGGGAAGTGATAAGGGAAGCTGCATGCTGTGAAATCATCGCCGTAATTACAGACGCCACCAGGGCGGCCTCACATCTCAAGGCTGCAGGTGCCAGGGGCAGCGGAACAGGGAGAGGGTACCGGGCCCTCCCTGGGTGGGACCTGACTGTGTGGCCTTCAGACAGTCTCTGGGCCCCTCTGGATCATGGTCGATGGGCACGCTCCCCTGCGCATGTGGCAGTTTCAGAGTCTGACTCCAAGCGGGAGGGATACATGGAAACCGCGCAGGGCCCTCAGTACCTGTAGGTGCAGGCCCCAGCTTCTTCATCTGGGGAGATCAGGCTGCAGGGAGGCAGGAGATGGCTTTGGAGTCTTTCCTAGCCAAGCACAGAAGCTCCGTAGCATGCACAAAATATTTTGCATACTAGAGAATCTTTGACATTCCAGCACAAAGCCTTGACAATGACCTGCAAAGCCCAGAGTATTGTTCCACCCACCCACCACTCACCACCCATCTTGCTGCCCCTACTTCATCTCCATCACTCTAACTTTTGGACCTTCCAGTCCAGTCACATTGGTCTCCCTGCTGGCGCTTGCACCTGTTAGGCACACCCTGGCCCCAGGGCCTTTGCATATGCCACTGTGTCTACAAGGAGTGCTCTTTCCTCAAGAATACACATTGCTCACTCTCCCCTCCTATAGATCATTATCAAGCACAGCCTTGTAGAGAGCAGCTCCCCGAGGACTTTGTTTAAAACTGCCATCCTCATCCTAGCAGGGCCTCTCTTCCTGCTGTATTTTTCTCCAGAATGTTTCATTGCATTGGAGAAGATGTATTTCACTTATTTATTTATTTTTTATCTCTATCTCTCTTGCCAAAAACTCCACCCACCCTCACATCTTTGTCTCCGGTGCTGAGAACTCTACCTGGCACAAAAGAAACACAGTTCATCACCGTCCGGGACGAACGAATGAATGTTTGTGTGGAGTGGAGGCGAAAACAGGCTGAGATGCTTTTCCCAGGACAGGCCGGCAAGGGCCACCAGGGCATACCCGGAATCTGGGAGGTCGTTGGCAGAGACAGGGGACCCCAGCCAGGGAGGAAAGCTGCTGGAAAAGTCACCTTAAAAGCCAGCCCTCTAGCTGATTTCATGTCTGCCCAGGCCTGCAGGCTGGCACGGTTGATGCTGCCCCTCCATGGTCACAGGCAGATTGTCTCCACCCCCTCTCCACTCTCCCCAGGGAGGGGACAGGAACATGAGAAGTTGCCGACACTTTGATTAACTCCCCAGCAAGAGTCCCCACGCCTGTGTGTGTCTCCCTCTTCCCAAGGCTGTAAAGGGGGACTGAGCAGTGTGGCTGTGGAAGGGGGATGGGCGGCAGGGATGCAGCCAGGGGAAGGGAAAGGCTTCTGCCCCTATCTGGAGGAGGGGGATGGAGGACCGATAAAGGGGCACTGGTGATGCAGGAGCACGGCAGCGAAGGGAAGAGAGTGCTAGAGGGGCCTGGAGGACCCCGGGGCACCGATCTTCCGTGTGTGGCACTCTGGCCCCCACACTGCCCTCCCCTCTTTCCTCCAAGCTGTGCTGTCCCTTCCCCCCAGAAATGAAGATGGTGATTTTTTAGAGCCAGTTTTCCCCCAAATCTCTGGAGATGCTGGAGATGCTGTTTCCATGGAAACCTTCCCCACCAGCCTTATAGGAGGAGAAGCTGGGCAGCCACCCCCGCCACCCCCACACAGCCCCCAGCTCCAGACTGCAGGGAGCCCCAAGTTGAAAATAACCCCCCTCCTCCAGATTTTCCCAGCAGGGCTCCACCTTGCCTGCACAGGGAAAGGCAGCCGATCTGTCTCTGGCCTCAGGCCTACAGGGGACCACTGAGGTCTGGGCAAAAGGAACACAGGGATCCTGAGAGGCGGCAGGGGCAGGTTCTAGGTTCCATCAGCCCTGGTGCAAATGCCTGGCCAAGGGGCCATCGCCAGGGAGCGGCTCAGGGCCAGGTCTTTCCTCCCCAGGAAGTCTCCCCAATCTCCATTCAACCATGGCCTGTTCAAATCTGGGAAGTTCCTTCCCGGGCTCTAACCCACCCCACCCTAGACTCATCAGGGTCCTGGGCTTCCAGCATACATGACAGCAAAATGACAATAAAACCACAGAAGATAAACCAACCCAAACCAAAAGACTCTGTCGACCTCAAATAAAGGAATTTATGGGTGGGGAGGTCCCATAAAGTAGCTCCTCGAATTTATGGGCAGGCTGAAGGAGCAGCCTTGAAGAAGGCCTGGCGGAAGGGAAGGCCACCGGACAGACACACAGCCAGAGGCAGAGAGGCAGACACTACCTCAGCCCACCGGCCCGGCGTGCCTGAACACACCTCGTGCACGGGGTGTGACGCTCCTCACATGACGTGAGTCTACACAATGTGTTAAAATTCATAAAACTGTTCCGCCAAAAATGTCATCTGTGTGACAGTATGATTTTTTTAAAAAATGCTGGGCAAAAAACCTTACAAGCTGGCTCCTGTCCCCACACCCCAGCCACTGGTCAGGCAGAGGCAGCTGATGTACCCTCTTAGCCTCCAGAATGGGCTGGGGCTCAGGCTCACGGCCTCGGAGATGCTGCTAAGGGGAAGGAGGGTGGATACGGGCAGCCAGCCAGGAAGGTGACCACGTCGCAGCTTGGGGGCTTCTGAAGAAGGGCTCTCCGGCCACACTCCCCGACTCTGGTTAGACCGGCAGTTCCGGAAGTACAGAAAGCAGATTCGGATGGACTTCCGGTCCGCAGGGCAAGTGCGCATGCTCAGTCTCCGCCCCCATCCCCACCCCACCCCATCACGGTTCCATGATTGGGAGACCGGAGGTTCAGGTTTTCCTTCGGTCCTAACTTACTGCCTAATCTTGAATGAACCCCTTTCCCCTCTGAGCCAAGTTGTCCAGGGGACAGAACACAGGTCTTCAGGCAGGGCTGTCCAGCTCTGCCACGCTGAGCGGGGAGGCCCTGGAATGAATGGAACTGGCCCTGAGGAAGCCTGGGTTTCTGCCGTGTAGCCGGGCAAGTGTCCTGCGCCCCAGTGGAGTGGAGTAAATGGTCCTGTGTCACAGGGGAACCGCCCCCCACCAAGATCCTCCCTAGGGTAGCACTCATGCCAAAAGGGGGGACCCCGATCTAAGGGAAGTCACCCCACACGCACTGCAGCTGATAGGAATACAGTCGGCTGCTGCGGTGGCTTCCCCAAGCCTGGGCCAAAGGGGGACTGTGTTCCCTGAGACCCCATCCTGAGGGGGTCGAGGGGAGCCTTTAGAAAGGGGTTCCGGGAAGCTTCCATGACTGACATCGACGAAGAGCATCCACTCTTACATCCATTTATCCACTTAACCTTTTTCTCTCTGTGTTTGTATCAATTAAAATTTGGCATAGTTGTTAGTGGAAGAAAACCCAAATTAACAATGAGTTGAACACTCAGATACAGGCTTCCTCTCAATGGTTCAGGGCAGCTGCTGAAACTCAGACTATCGCGTCTGCCTTCCAGCCAGCTAGGCGAGAACACCAAGACGGGCATGCTTCCTGCCACACTGACATCCACGAATCATTCTGTCACGTGAGACTGTCGCTCTGTTTATAGACCTTGGTCACAAGGCCACAGCTGGCTGCAAAGGAGGGTGGGAAATTGCATGTCAATTTTGGTCTATTTTGGTACCTGCTGATGGTTTTTGCAAAGATAGAAGGAAGCTGGATCCAGGCAGGCAGCCAGCGGCCACTGCTGGAGCATGGGGCGCTGTCCCTCCAGGCACAAGTTCCATGGTTTACAGACAGGTCTGGACCTTCTCCAACGTCTTCCCACATTCCGGATAATCACATTAGTGCGAATTGCTTTTCTCCGTTTGTGCTGTTTCATTGAGATTTATTTCCGAACGTGTGATCACCTGCCAGGTGAAGGGTGTGATTGTCCTCTCCGCAGCAGCTGCTGTTGTACCCTGCTGGACGGGCTCCGGAACAACAGAGCTGCGGAGAATTTAGGAGAATTTAGGGTCCTGGCCTGCGCTGCTCTGATTTCGCAGGTACAAAACGGGTGAGAGAGCAAAGCCCCCCAAGACTCCCTCCAGCTCTTGATGAAAAGTACAATGGTAAATTCTGCGGCAGCTTGGGGGGGGATGGAGTTTTAGGGTTTATATCTAGATGCTCCCCAGGAGCGTCATTTGCTCCTCACCAGGGTTTTGGAGGATTGGATTCTGGGGGTCACAGCTGATTCGCTCTAAGGAGATGGAGGTGGGGTCGAGGCCAAAGAGGCAGCCATTGGGGGCGTGGCCTGGCCCTCGGTTGTCTGCTTTCGGGTTTGCAGTGCTGTGGGCCCTTTCCACTCCCAGGCCCTTTATTATGTCATCTTGGCCTGGAGCCGGGTCAGCTTTGGGCTGAACAGTGAGCCAAAACAGACCTCTTCTCTAAGTTGTGGCTGTCGGGTATTTTGCTCCAGCAATGAGAAAACTAAGACACGGAGGAAAGGCAGTATACGCGCGCAGGCGTGTGCACGCACCCTGCTGCCACTGTATCTTGAGTGAAAACAGTAAATGAACACAAGCCTACTTCACGCGTGCAAACGAGTATCAGGAACCCTCGCACTCTTACCCTCCCCCCAGGAAGGTAGGTGGGGCCTGGGGCTGCTTCCCGGAAGTGCCTCCGGGGAGAGCAGTGGCGTCTGAGGTCCAGGCAGGGAGCCCCCACAGACCTCCTTCCCAGCTGCCACTGATCTTCCTTAACACCTCGAAGGAGGACGTGTCCCCTGATGTTCCAATGACCTATATCCTCAACACAGCAGCCACAGAGAGTCTCAAAACAGAAGTTAGGCCGTGTCCCTGCTCTGCCCAGAACTGCGCTTGTCCCTCTAAAGTTTGAGGGCTCCCAGTCGGCTTTAAGCTTTGTGCTCCTGCCCCACCATGAATGATCTCTCTGATCTTGTGTCCTGCCAATCTGTCTGAGTTCATGTCACTCCTGATGTCTGTGCTCTCTGACCACAGGGCCTTTGCACTGGCTGCTCCTCTTGCCTGGAAAGCTCTTCCCCCATCTATCTGCAGAGCTTGCTTACCTCCTATAGGTGATTTTGCTCCACATGACTCTCTATAACCTACTTAAAATTATAACTTCAACCTAACCTGTCCTTTCTGACTCCCCACCTTTATTTTTTATAGCACTCTTACCCTCTGATATATCACTTGATTTCTTTGTCCCTATCAGCTTTCCTCCACTAAAATGTGAGCTCCACAAAGCAGAGATGTTTGTCTGACCTGTTCTCTGATGTTTCCCTAGGACCCAGGATGACTCCTGGCACACAGCGACAGCAAGGGGACACTCATTGAATACGTGACCGTGCTTGGTCCAGGCAGACCCTGCAGGGCCCACGGTAACCTGCTCTGTTCCGGTAATGGGCTTTGTGTTTGTCTCAGCTGCAGGTGCTTTGCTGTTAACCCCTGGCACTGCCGAGACCTCTTCAAGCGCCCCCTGGATGTAAGGAGAGCTGAGCCGCATGAGCACCTGGAAACCAGCTGCCCCGGGCTTGAAGCAGGACAAGCTCAGAGTGTGATTTCCACTCCAGGCCTCCGAGGGATCCTGCTGAGGTTAGGACCTTGCTTGAAATCCGCCTGGCCTGGCCTGGCCTGGCCTGTTTCCTTATTCTCATCAGATCGAGTGACTGCCCCTGTCCCTGTCTCCGCACGTGCATCCTTCTAGAAAGGCCCAATTTAGGAGAGAGCTTCTGTGCTCACCTGGGGCAGACTTGTGAACCCGTGGAGCGATGGAGAAAGACTCCAAGTTCCGGAGACACTGCACCTGAGTTGAGCCCCTGACCCCATGTGCAGCTCAGGGTAAACCTGCAGCACACGGTCCTGTCCGCCCTCCTGGAACAAGGAAATGAATCCGTCTTCCTGCAGAGTTGCTGTGAGGACCCCACGAGATAAACCACAAGGAGCCCCGTGTGCTCTGGCCAGCGCATAGTAGCTGCACAGTGAACACCAGTTCCTTCAGCCTCTCACCTTGTGGCCTGCCTGTCTATCTAAGTGCCTGCCTGTCTGTCTAACTGGTGGGGGGGGGGAGCCCACAGCTCCTGCCCAGCAGCTGAGCATCACACATCTTAGTGTGATGAGTGACAAATCTGTCACTTCTTCAGGGAGGACCTGAGGCCACTGGGACCTTGCCCAAAGGCAGCAGCAGGAGGTCGGATGAATCAGGCTGCCTAAGAGGAGGCACACGCGCATGCGCACGGGTGCCCACACTTTGCCAACAGCCAAGTGGTGATGCCACCGGGCAGGAGAACCTTGAGAACCAGTTCCGGCTAGGCGGCTGCTAGGCGACAGCCTGCATGTACCTACCTGATGGAGGCCGGCGGAGCTGTGAGTTCCTGGGCTGCAAATCTGGTCTGCATGGGGGCCCCTTCTCCGCCTCCACCAGCCTTGCTGGGCACCCTCCCCTTTCCTGATCCCACACACACTTGCCGTGGCACAGCTGAGGCCCAGAAGACAGACGGCCAGAAAGGAAGGGGAGAAGCCACCTTCGCCCTTCCCCTCACTGAGGTCCTGAGCGACATGAGGACACCGACAGTCAACAGCGTGCACCTCCAGAGGGCCAGGCTGCAGGGTTCAGCCAGCGCGGTCCCGCAGCCCCAGGTCTGGGTCCAGTCTCTGTCTCTCTCTGGAAGCCGGGGTCACAGTTATCAGCATTTCCTTTGCAGTGCCAGTGCCGTGGATTGTCTTTTAGAGGTAAAATCACATTGCTCATCCCCTGGGGTTTTGTAAATCCTCCAGCAGAAGTACAGAACGGGGGAAGCAGCTTTCTCGGGGTGCCCTGGTGGTTCGTGGCAGAGCCAGAACACAGCCCTGATGCTGTTCCATTGCATTTTGCTGCCATGGCGACATTTCAATTAAGACAGGCAACAAAGCCATTGCCACATACCTGCCCGTCCTGTCCTTCACTGTGTCCTATCTCTGGGTGCTGGGAGCAGGGTCCACTGGGACCCACCTCCGTCCTGCTGCTGTGCTTAGCTGTGGCTGGTCCTTGGAACTCAGGGAAGAAGAGAGGCTGACACGATTGCCCCTCAGGGACCCCAACACCTAAGAGCTGAAGTGTCCTGCGCAGTCACCTGTGTCACTGCCTGACCATCATCTGAGCAGCTCAGGGTCACTCTTCTCATTCATATCATTAACTACCTTCTTATTTCATGCAAAATTGATACACTGGTGCATGCCTATAATCCCAACCCTCTGGGAGGCTGAGGCAGAAGGATTACATGTTGTAGCCCAGCCTGAGCAAGGCCTCCGAATAAAAAATGAGCAGAGAGAGAAAGAGAGAGAGAGAGTGGACATTACCCAACCCAGAAGAAAGTGGTCAGAAATATACACGCCTGGAGGCCCGTCAGATGAGACCCAGGTCATATCCCAGGGAAAGTCATCAGAGCAGGTGTGTAAGATGTAACTGGGAACCGTCCGTCACTGTCACGTAGGAGGCCGAGTGACCTGTGCTTGCCTGCTGCTCGGGAATAAGCAAGGAGGACACATACAACTTACAGAGAGGGAGGGCTAGCTGGAATGTGAGGGAGGGAACTAGAACTGACTGTTAGCAAAACAGACGACCTCAAAGAAATTACACAGCTACGTGAAAGGTGCTGCTTTGATGGCTTGTTTTGGACCAGGGGTACAGTCCTGTGGCTTAAAGCAAAACAGTACAGAAAGGCTTACAGCTAGGGGCCTAGCCCCACACACCCTCAGCACATCCTTCTCGTGTGCAGGAACCAGTGTTTACACCGTCCAAGCTTCTAGAGGCAAAGAAGAGCCTTTCTGCATCCCTCCTTCAAAATAAATGGCAACCTGAAATGGGAACCTCAGGACTGGGGATTTAGCTCAGCGGCATGAGTGCCTGCCTTGCAAGTGTGCAGTCGTGAGTTTGATCCTTGGTGCCGATTTAAAAAAACAAAAATACAAGTGAAATGCTAACCTCGGCTTCAGGCTGACTTCTATTGTGTTGAATCCTCTGTTTAACCCATATATTGAACTTTTTGTTTTTTTGTGTGTTTTTCAGTAGTGGGAATTAAAACCGGCCCCTTTGCACTGAGCTACATCCCTACCCCTTTTAGCAAAATTTCCCTTCCTGGGTTTGGTGGTACATATCTAAAATCCCAGCACTTGGGAAGCTGAGGCAGGAGGATCACAACATGTTCAACGCCAGCCTGAAGTGCATAGTGAGAGCCTGTCTCAAAAGACCAAAACAAAAGAAAAAAATTTTTCTTATTTTGAGATAGCGTCTCACTAAATTGCTGAACTGCCCAGGCTGGGCTCTAATTTGCCATCCTCCTGCCTCAGCCTCCCAGAGTGCTGAGATTACAGGCATGTAGTATCATGCTCAGTTTTAACTCATCAACTGGGTTTTTAATTTTACTTACTTAATTTTCTCAGTCCTCCAATTTCTATTTTATTCTTTTTATGGATCTTAATTCTCTGATGAAATATTCTATTTTTAATTTTTTTCCTTTTTGTGGTTTCTGGAAGATATTAATCATGGCTCTTTTAAAGTCCTCAGTGTCTGAGTCACTTGTGGGTCTGTTTCTATTGTCTATTTTTGTCTCATGACACGGGTCGTCAGGTCCTGGTTCTTGGCATGCCTCAAATTTTTTTTTTTCCTGAATGCTAGACATTTTAAATTTGAACTTCACAGTATGTACTAAAGATTTTTCCATTGATACAGTAAAATATATATCTGCACATTGAAAAATTCCTTTTATTTCCAGATAGGCATTTTATAAGCAATATGCTGAGATCACAGTGCAGCTCTGCAATGTGCCTGTTTTAATAATAATGGGTATGGAATCCGGGGAGGGTTTGGAGTCTCACAGCTAGAACTCTGCAAGCATGAGACTTGTGTCCAAGTCTGTCTCCCCTGAGTACAACCCAGAGGTGGGAGTACAACATCCTGGAGCACCGGCTGTGACAGACCTCCAGGCTGGGGTTTGAGACGACCCCCAAGTTAGCACCAGCCATGTATGTTAGGGTCTCTTGTGATGGCGACAAGGGTGTTGTTCACTATCTCCACAGGAAGTAAGTAGCATTCTTTCTCCGTTTGTTTCCTGTTGCTATCACTAAACACCACCATCTGGATCATTTACAAGGAATAAAGGTTGATTCAGCTCATGGTTCTTGAGGACGAGTCCAGCATCACAGGGCCAGGACCTGGTGCGGGTCTTCTTACTGTATTGTACCATAATGTGACAGAGGACATCTCATGACCTAGCAAGCGTGCCAGTTCTGCATCCTCCTCTCCTTAGAAAGTCACTGTGCTTGGGGCTGGGGATTTAGCTCAGCGGCATAAGCACCTGCCTTGTAAGCAGGCAGTCGTGAGTTCGATCCCTGGTACCGATAAAAAGGAAAAAGACAAAAAAAAAAAAAAAAGTCACTGTGCTATCAGGAGGCCCCACCCTTAGGACCTCATCTAATTCCCCTTCTCTCCAGAGGACCCATCTCTAAACTTCACCTGCAGATGGGTGTGGGTGCCACATTTCCAAGCCATGAATTTCGGGGGGCATATTCACTTGCTGGAGATACTCAGGGAAGGCTTACTTATGCAGGAATTTGTTACAGCAGTTTGGAGGTTTAGGAGGAGCAATAGGACCAGTGCAGAGTATCAGGACTGGGACCCCGAGCTCAAAGGGACAAGAGGAAAAACAGTCATGTAGCGCCAGCTACCTCAAGGACAGTGACTTCTGCCAGTCCAAGGCAATGCTGCAGGTAGAGATCCAGGGTCATAAATACCGCAAAGCCACCATCTCCCTCTTCTTCTTATCAGGGCCCCCTGTTGGCCAAGCCACCCAAGACAGAGAAGAGGACAGGAGGTCAGGGGGAGACCTGCAGAAGCGCATCTGGCACAAACCACACACAGCAGAGGTTTAGCAACAGACACATCACGATGTCACCTTTGAGATGCTTTTGCTTAAGGTCCCAGCATCATTCACCGGCTCGGTGATGTCACCCAGGACGTCCTTTAACCTCAGTGTTCACAGGATGTTTAGGTCTGCATCCTGTTGAGGCTTGTTGGCCTGGATCACAGAGTAACCTTCACAGCTCCAGGCATTTCATCCTTGGTCACCACATTGAAGACAGGAAGAAGGAGCGGGCTTCCTTCCATACCTCCCATGCTCGTGGAGGGAATCAATCATCCACTGAAGTCTCCCTGTCCCCCAGTAACCTCCCCCTGCACCTCATTGGCCAGAATGGTGTCACGTGCTCGCCCCTGAACCAACCACTAGTAAAGGTAGACAGGATTCTCCTGATTGGCTGAGACCAATCCCGTTTCCTTTCCTGGGACTGAAGTTGGCTCTACTTCCCTGGGCTCACGGCCTCGTCTCCGTCCACCCTAGGAAGGGGGATGGCACTACGTGGGAAACAGAGTTCCTCATTTCCCCCAGGAGGGCCCTGACCAGCCCATGAGTTGGCTGTCTTGGGGTCAGGGCTGCCCTTCCTCCAGTGGTTAAAGCAGGAAGTAGCAAGGTGGGTACCCGGGGTGCAAGGGTTGGATGGGGGTGGGATGTCCCCTAGACTGGCCAGGGCAGCGATCCAGGAGGGCAGACGAAGCCAGGCAGTGGGATGGGATGGCAAGTGCCCAGATGGGAACAAATCCACCATGAAACCAGGTTGCTGGGGTTCTAATGTTTAAGTCCCTCAGGTTCACATACTAAAACCTAGTCTCCAGGGCGGCCATGTTAAAAGATGGAGCCTTTTGGGGATGATTAGGCCAGGAGGGCAGAGCCTTCAGGAATGGGATTTATGTCCTTACACGAGAGACTGGAGAGTTAGCCAGCCATGTGGGGACATAGCAGGAAGGTGCCATCCTTAGCAGGCAGAGGGACTTCAGATGCCAGATGAGCTGGTAGCCTGATCTTGCCCCTCCCAGCCTGCAGAACCATGGGAAGGAAATTTCCTTTGTTTAAGTGCTACCCGGTTTCTCCTAGCGCCCAAATGGACTCAAGCCCAGGGTGTCATCGTATTTGAAAGACGGCGACTCAGTGCAAAACTGAGTTAAAAACCCTCTCTGACTGGCATCTTTGTGGTCCTCATAGATGGAAATTGCAGGTCCCTCACATCCCTGGGGTAACTCAAAAACCTCGACTAGTTTGGCGGGCATCCTGCGGTGTATCCGTGCACAGCCCAGCTGCTGACGGCTCACAGCTGCCCCTGTGCTAGAGGTCTGCCCTCAGCCACCTTGCACGCACCTGGCACCTTTCAAGCCTTGTCCTGCTCGGGCTCCTCACAGCCAACAGCGCTCAGACCTCCGCCTCTCTCTGTCCCTCGCTGAGTCCTCAGTGAGGAATTCCCACGCATGCAGGATCTGTGGGAGAAGGAAGACAAGGCCTGGCCACTCAGATCCAAGGGTGGGCCTGGGCTTCTCTGCCCTCTCTGGAGGTCCCTGGAACAACTCCTTCGTCTTCCCCACTCCTCGGGCACCCTGGACCTTCCTAGGATTGTCACTGTGTCTGAGTGCTGGGCTCAGTAGAGATAAGAGCGGAAGTCCTGGCCTCTGGTTTCAAAGGGTTGAAATTTGAATCAGTGAGGTGGGATGTGCCTGTAAAAAAATAAAAGGAAAAGAAAAGAAAGAAACAGCCTGCCATGCTGGCACATGCCTATAGTCATCACATTCTGGGAAGCCGAGGCAGGAAGATCAAAGCTCAAGCACAACCTTGACTTAGACCACATTTCAAAATTTAAAAATTTTATTTAAAAGGGATAGGGAAGACCCCAGGTTCAATCCCTAATGCCAAAAAAAGGAAAACAGAACAAGCAGTAAATGCCAAGGCCCAGTGGTTGCCCCCAGCAGAGGGCAGAACAGAGAGCCAGGCAGAAAGGGCTCCCAGGAGGAATTGCTAGCCAGGGGGAGGCGCAGTGGGTTCAGGTGGGCGCACAGGGCCCAGGCCACAGCCAGAGAGGAGCTGTGCAGAGAAGCAGGGGTGACGCTGGGAGGCAGGAGGGACAGGAATGGAAGGTGAAGCTGGGCATTCTGGTGCTCCTGTAAACCCAATTTGGGAGGCTGAGGCAGGAGAATCGATACAAGTTCATGGCCAGCCTGGACTACAAAGTGAGACCCTGCCTCAGAAAAGAAAGAAAAAAAGGAATGGAAGAGGAGGCTGAGGCTGGGAGCCAGAGTGATCGGGGAAGAAGCACCAAGTGGGGATGTCTTACCCATTTCCTACCCCACTTCCTCCCCCAGAGGCCCAGCCTTGTACACAGACAGCATTTGTATGTCAGGGGTTCTGCACGCAGGGCCCTCCCCCTTCCTGGGCTCAGGCTCTTCCAGCAGGAGCAGGAGATGTGCCATGGGAAGGGGGGTCTCTGGGGAGGCCTGGTCCCCAGAGGATCGGGAATAGAAAAAGTCCTCCCCTGCAGCCAGCAGGGACTTAATTAGCAGAGCTAATTAGTGGACAGAGTGTGAGGCAGGTGCCAGGCGCGGGTGGCACGGTGTGTGCAGGAGTGAGACAGCCGACACCATTTCCCTTGTCTGCCACAGGGAAGGTGCTGCTCAGGGCTGGCACTGTGCCCAGCACTGGGGGCACTCAGAGACGCTGCACGCACATATGCCTGCTCACACACACACACACACATCCACAGACTGGTCCCTGCACCCCATTCATGCACTTACACTCCCACATGGACATGGCTGCCCAGATTCACACAAACTTTTAAACAGGAAAGCATCTTCTCAGAGCACAGATGTCCCCATCCCCGTGGCCACCATGCCCAGTACATCTCACTGTCCGTCAGCCCTGGAAGAATGAGTCCAAGTCCTGATGGGGGAATTTGTCACCTGACAGGAGAGGGCAGGTCCAAGGTCCAGGAAAGCCTGCAGCCACACTTGCCAGGTGATAAATTAGGAGCAAATCTGCACTGAGGCTCTGAGGATTCTCACTAAGTCCCCAAACCTCGTTTGCAAAGTGGACAGAACTGCGATTTCAGGATGTGTGGGAAGTAAGTGAAGTCACACATGGAACACGCTGGGCCAGAACCGAGCACACAATATGTGCTCAATAAATTCAACACTTCCCATGGGGCCAAAGTCAGCACTCCCCGAGCAGGGTTTCGAGTTGTCCTCCGGGCCGCCCGGCTCTTACCTGCCTCCCCGTCTCCGCATTAGAAGACAGGTTATTAGTACAAATTTGATCAAAATGACACACGGATTAGCATGTGCGCTGCAAAGTCTAATTCTGTTTACTGTTCTAGGAGAGCATGCAATTATTACAGGAGCTGGGACAGAGTGTTTTTAATAACATTTCTTGTTAAGATTTAATTACAGGAAATTGTATTTTCTTAATCACTGAAAACTCGACTGGCTAGGAAAAGAATCGTGATAATGTGGTTTGCAGTTTATTAAATCCTTAGGATATTCTTTCTCTTACATTTGCCTTTATTGTGTGTTGCGGCTAAGTGCTGTTTCACCCTTGGAGCTGCGAGGGGGCCAAGTCTTTGGGGAACATCCCTGCCTCTCCCCTCAGGTCTGCCACTGCTGGCAAACTCAGAGCCAAACACCCCAGAAACCCAATCCGGGAAGCTGGGTTGCTCAGATTCCTGTTCATTGACAAGAACAGGAATTTATCCTTAATCTGGAGTTGGGGGGCTAAGGGGCGGTCCTGGCGTCTCCTGCAGACCCAGCCTCTTAGCAAAGGTACCTGTCCCGGCCCCTCCTTTTGCGTGGTACTTCCTGTGGGAGATTGCAGGGGTCACTCACAGGCC